AAAAATTTAACTGCCCTGCAGTAACATAACATTTCAGAAACAGGGACAATGTAATGAATTTTTATAAAGCTAAATTAATTTAGAAACATTTTTATCATGAAATGATGCTATCTTTTCTATTCTGCGGGTGAATGCAAAAATGTACTTTTTAAAGTGAGAAATTGCTGTCCACTGTTTCCTAGTGGACAGTAAGAGTCACATCATTTATGTTAGCCTTTTTACTTTGTTGTCAACAACAGTATTTCTGAAAGCCCTTCCATTCTGCATATTTTGCTTCTTTTTTAGTAGTTCTGATTTCTCCTGGTGCTAATTTTTAAAAAATATTTTTACATTTAGTTATTATTATTTACACTTTATTATTTTACTGTATATATTTTTTTGTAAGCCATCTTAAATCCTTTATGGAAACAGTATAGGGTATAAATGCATAATCTTTACATTGAGGGACTTGGTGGACCTTTACTGTGCTCTTTTTATATATCTCATAATTATACTTTTATATACGAAGTTATTGACCCTTTGTAATCATTGTTGCAATATTTTATTCAGTTCTATAATATTACATTTTAATTTTAGTTCTGTTGGTATTCATTCTGTAAAATTTCTTTATATGGTCACACTTGTCTATCTTTCTCTTATTTTCATGTGATGATCTGGCTGTTAGAATGTGATCATCACGTTAGAGTTGAAGGTAAGTTTTCTTTGGTAATTTATTGGGACCCATGAGATAAAGCTGCATGTCTCTAGGCTTCACAAATTCATCACATTCTAAATCGAATTACTGATTCTCCTCCAGTCTTGTTTTTCCTTTCATTTTCTTATTTTTGAATGTCACCACTATCTAGTCATTTTGCTAATGACTTAAGCCAAAAACACTGCAAATTGTCCTGTACCGTACTCTTCTTTCTCTTTGTTCCCTGTGCCGAATTACCCAGTGATTGAGATATTTTTTCCCCCTCAAAAAATCTCTCAAATGTTTATCCTTTTCTGCCCACCCCCTGCACACCGCCTGGCTTCAAACCCTCATCACCTCTTGTGTATATTCCGCAGATGCAAAACTCAGTGGTTT